CCACTATGAACTGGAATAATGATAACCACTTCCTCCTGAGCACCCCAGAAAATGCCACCCAAAATCTATACATCAAAGCAAGTGGTCAATGATAGATTAACTCATTTCCCTAATATGGAGACTTCTGCACAAAATAGATATAAAGATAGTTGGCAAAACCAGAATTGTTTTCTTGTTGTTTTAATATTTCAGATGCCTGTAAATATTTCGTGTCTTGCTATCAGCAGAAATTATGTGTTCTAATCATTCCATAATTCTCCCACCAATTTTGGTCATTTATCTACAATGAGTGTTTAATTGGTTTTTGTCATGTGATCATCTCATATACTTCAGATGTTACAGTATGTGGGGGGGGGGGGTGCATGCATGTGCACACATAAATAGGAGACTGTGTCTTGCAGGTCTTACATCTTTATTTATCAGTACAAAATTATTTAATTCATCCCAAGAGAGAGCTAGGAAAGGAGGGGACTTGCCTACTTTCCTCCATCTCCACCTCCGTCTTCTGCCAGTACCTTTAGTGATTTCAGCATCAGTGCAGCCCATAACCTCACAGTTCACTTTCCTTAGGTCCAGAGAACTTCTATATTTATTACAGTGTTGCCATTCATGAGGATGGTCAAGTCACCTGTTCTCTGATTACAAAGATCTATCCTTCCATTTAACATATGGCCTTAATTTTTCTAAACCTCCTCTTTATTGTCCTTTTTAACTCATTCATTCATTCATTAAACAAATATGTAGTATTTATGCCAAGCATTGCACTTGGAGGTGGGGGTATAATAATAAACAAGACCAACATGGTCCCTGGTATAATTAAGCAACTATGAATATGGATATATATATATATATATATATATATATATATATATATATATCCTCATTAGGACATTAAATTCTGAAAAAGAAATTTGCTATAAATCACTCCTAACTCCCTAAGGCAGCATTCCATTATTAAAGCACATATTCCCACAAATTGGAAAGCAGAGTCACTCCTTCTCTGCTCAGGAAGAAGCTGCTCTCCAAGGCACCAAGTGGCCGCGGGATGGCTGGGCTGAGGTTCCACTTCACACACCCTTAAGAGTTCTCTGCCAAATCTGACCTCATGTCTTAACCACAAACACACAGCTAATAATAGCTTCTCTTCTTAACTTATAAAATACAATTCTTAAAGGCAATTTTTGAGAAACAGCCAGACGTCTGAAAGGAAAATTTACAGAGCTTAACCAGTAACTACTACCAAAACATAACTCCCAGCAGCCACACAGCACTTCCAAGTTTTACCAGCAAAGTCCTTTGAAAGGAATCCAAGGCTCCCCCAACCAGTGTGTGTGTCTGTTCACCCTAGAGGTCAAGTCTATTAATTACCCCTGCCAGCTTCTGTTCTCTCAAAACAATAGATGAAAATATTTTGGGATAGGATCAAGAAAAATGTGTAACCAAATATTTTATATCTTTATGTATATTTATATATCATTGTTAGAAGTTGGCATGTGTTTAGTGCCTCTGAGGAAAATATTTATGTAGTGTTGCATTTAGTTTTTAAAAAGCTGACTTCTCTTGTATTTTTCATCCTTCATTTCAGAAATCAAATTATAACATCTTCATTCCACTATACAGACCATTTGTAAAAGCAAAACATCTATCCAAGATGTCCAATTTAAGTGACTTCCCAAAGGGCAGATTGTGAACTGTAAAGACATCAAACTACACATGTGATGGAGATGTCTGAGCCCTAGAGATATGTGGGCAAAAAAAAACTAATCATTTGTGTAGCTCTGGCAGGTAAAAGAGACCTGAAAGCAGGGATCGTGCCTATTCTGTTCACAATTGTATGCCTAATGCCTAGTGTAGTTAGCTGGCATGAACCAGGTGCTCAATCAACATGTAATGTTTGAATTAATGGTGAGTGAGAGGGAGAGAGGATGTTGGATGGATGGATGGATGGATGGATGGATGGATGGATGGATGGAAGGAAGGAAAAGTGATGAATGCATAGACATGGTTCTGTATTTATTTGTATTGGTAGAGGAAAAGTTAGGGGTAGAAAATAATCAATGAGTTAGGGAAAGATTTGTCCTGTGTTAATGACACGATTCCTCTGACTAGCAATAAGACAAAATACTCTGAGAAAAGCTTAGAAGTTAGATGAATTGGGGTGTAGATCCTGGAGTGACCTTTGATTACCTGTGAAATGTTAGGCAAATAATATCATCTTTCTGGGCCTATTTCCTCATCACTAAAATTAAAAAGCAACATTTACTTGAAGGGTTATTGAGAGGATGAAATGAAATAACAATGAAAGAACTCATTGGACCACCTGGAAAGAGATAAAATAGAGTTTATTATCACCTCTATGCTAAAGGACATGTCACTCACATACAGGGAACAGAGCTAGCTTCAGAAAATTTGGGCTCCTGGAAATCTGTGATCACTTCAAATATACATAGATAAAAGATCTTGCTCTATGTCTGTGCTGTGCATTATGTCTTTAAATAAAATGTTCCTCCAGATGAACTGTGATCATCTCTCCCCTAAAAAGATAAAATGAAGTTTATTTTTACCATTGCGTCATTCCCCATGTTGTGTATGTTCTAGTATTATTTTAAAACATCGCAGAGTGTGGGCAAAGGGAGTCACAGAAGTTTAGAGCAGGGGTCAGCAAACATTTCCTGTAAAGAATCAAATAGCAACTATTTTAGGGCCACACAGTCTGTGACAACTATTCAACTCTGGTGTTGTAGCATGAAAGCAGCCGGAGACAATAGATAAATAAATGGATGAGTGCATGTTCCAATGAAATTTATTTATAGCCACTAAAATTTCAATTTTATGTAAGTTTCACATGTCACAAAAATATTCCTCTTTTTTTTCCCCATCCTGAGACATTTTCTAATTTTTGGCACATGATGCAGGGTGCAGATGATGTTTTGTTGAGCTGTGCACTTGAAACCTATATGGTTTTGTGAGCCAATGTCACCCCAATAAATTCAATTAAAAAAGAAAAAAATATTATTTTTTATTTATTTATTTATTTATTTTTGTTACAGATGTTTCTCCTTTTTCCCCCACTGATTCCCCCTTCCCCTACCTCCCTGCCCTGTCCCCAGCTTTGTTGTCCATGTCCATTGTTCATGCATACATGTATACAAGTTCTGTGGTTTATTTCTCCCACACCACCCCCTCTTCTGGGGATTGTCAGTCTGTACCCCACTTCCACGTCTCTGGGACTATCCCATTCCTCAGACCGTTATGTTCATTATATTCCACAAATAAGTGAGATCATATGATACTTGTCTTTCTCTGCTTGGCTTGTTTTGCTTAGGATAATACATTCCAGGTCCCTCCATGTCGTCTCAAAGGATAAGAGATCTTTCTTTCTTACAGCTGTGTAGTACTCTATCGTGCATATGTACCACAGCTTTTTTATCCATTAACGACCGTTTAAAAATATAAAACAATTCTTAGTTAGCAGGCTGTATAAAACGTGCATGAAAGGTTGAATTTGCCACATAGGCCATAGTTTATTGACTCTTGGTGTAGAGTAAGCCACTATTTTAATATTGACTGCAGTCCTTTAATGAATCAGGAGTATTTGTTTTAAATATGATGTTGATGTTCTCCTGATGATTCAATGATAAAGCTTAAAAAGTTTAATATTTAGCCCCTTTTCCTAGGTGGTTAGTGCTGAGAGTATAAGTGTGGGTTCCAGGTTTGGAACACATATTTATTATTATTTTTAATTGAAACTTTTATTGAGGCAGTTATAGATTCACATGTAATTGTAAGAAATAATACAGAGAGATGAGTATATCCTTTTATCCAGTTTTTCCCAACAGCCTGCAAAACTATAATATAACATCACAACCAGGATATTGACATTGATACAATTCACTGATCTTATTTAGATATACCTGATTTTACTTGTACTTATTTCTGTGTGTGTGTTTAGTTTTGTAAAAATTAAATTATATGTATAGGTTCATGTATTCACCAGCAGAGTCAAGGTGTATGGTTAAACAAACGTTGACACACACATACCATGGACTAATATTTAGCAATAAAAAGAAACAGATTAGCCTGGCCAGTGTGGCTCAGTGGTTGAGCATCAACCCATGCACCAAGAGATTGTTGGTTCAATTCCCAGTCAGGGCACATGCCCAGGTTGTGAGCCTGATCCCCAGTGGGGGCATGCAGGAGGCGGCTAATTGATGTTCTCTCTCATCTCATCAGTATTTCTTTCTCTCTCTAACATCAATAAAGGAAAGAACAATTTTTTAAGCAACAGATTATTGATACATGCATTAATTTGTATGATTCTCCAGAGGATTATGCTGGAGAGTCTTTTTCCTGAAAATGAAAAATAAACATTTTTAAAGCAATCCCAGAAGGTTACATAGTATATGATTCCATTTATGTAACATTAATGATAACCTTTTAGAAATCAAAATCGATTAATGGTCCCAGGGTTAAGGAAGGGGGTGAAAGGTACAGAAGGAAGTGCATGTGGTTTTGTAAGGGCCATAGTGGGATACTTCTGATGATGGAAGTGTCTTGATGGAAGTATCTTGACACAATTAGTATTTTTTAAACATTTTTTAAATCTTTTTTTTAAGAAAACAAAAATTTTACCCCTCCCCCCAAATTCGCATCTCCTCCGCCAGAGACCCTTTTTTCTTCCGTTTTAATAAAAACACCAGCGAAGCAGCCAAAGCCAAGACCGATCCGCCCGTGGCCCCACAGCAGCAGTAAGAAGGAACCAAGGGACTGAGGTCTTGCACAGAGTGGACGGGACACTGCCACTCTCACTCCCCAGCCGGAAGTCAGAGGTCAGAGTTCTGTGACCTGAGACCGTTGGGAAGTTGTCGATTCTAGAACATTTTTGTCCCTCTACGCTTCCCCCCTCCCCCCTGCTGCTCTCTGGCCCTCAGGCCCTGCTCTTGCTCTGCTCTCCTCTAACAGAAAGATCGAGGACTATGGCGCTGTGCCAGCCTGACGAGATGGACCCCAGTGCCACCAGCTTCCCCACGGCCTCGCTGTATGTGGGAGACCTACACCCTGACGTCACCGAAGCAGTGCTCTATGAGAAGTTCAGCCCTATCGGGCCCATCCTCTCCATCCGGATCTGTAGGGACGCCATCAGCTACCGCTCGCTGGGCTATGGGTATGTGAACTTCCACCGGCCCGCGGATGCCACACGCGCTTTGAACACCATGAATTTCGATGTCATAAATGGCAAGCCAATACGCATCATGTGGTCTCAGCGTGATCCATCACTTCGCAGAAGTGGCGTAGGCAACATATTCATTAACCATTTAGACAAATCCGTTGATAATAAAGCTCTCTATGATATGTTTTCTTCTTTTGGTAACATCCTTTCATGTAAGGTGGCTTGTGATGAAAATGGTTCCAAGGGTCATGGATTTGTACATTTTGAGACACGGGAAGCAGCTGAAAACGCTATTGAAAGCATGAATGGCATGCTTCTACATGATCGCAAAATATTTGTTGGGCAATTTAAGCCTCCTAACGAACGAGAAGCAGAGCGCAGAGCTAGGGTAGAAGAGTTCACCAATGTTTACATCAAGAATTTTGGGGAAGACATGAGTGATGAGTGTCTTATGGATCTCTTTGGCAAGTTTGGACCTATCTTAAGTGTGAAAGTAATGACTGACGACAGTGGAAAATCCAAAGGTTTTGGATTTGTAAGGTTCGAATGCCATGCAGATGCACAGAAAGCTGTAGAGGAGCTGGATGGAAAGGAGCTGGATGGAAAACAGATTTATGTTTCTCGGGCTCAGAAAAAAAAGGAAAGGGAGATAGAACTTAAGCAGAAATTAGAAGAAATTAAGCAAAACAAGATCACCAAATACCACGGTGTTAACCTTTATGTGAAAAATCTTGCTGATGGTATTGATGACGAACGTCTCTATAAAGAGTTTTCTCCATTTGGTACAATCACTAGTGCAAAGGTTATGATGGAGGGTGGCCGCAAAAGGGGGTTTGGTTTTGTATGTTTCTCCTCCCCAGAAGAAGCCATGAAAGCAGTAGCAGAAATGAATGGTAAAATTGTGTCCAACAAGCCATTGTATGTATCTTTTGCTCAGTACAAAGAAGAGCGCCAGGCTCACCTCACTAGCCACTATATGCAGAGAATGGCAACTGCAGCAGCTGTGCCCAACCCACTAATGAGCCCCTACCAAGGAGCATCTCCCAGTTACTTCATGTCAGCTATTCCACAGGCTCAGGACTGTGCTGCATTCTGTCCTTCTAGCCAAGTTGCTCAACCTCAGTTATTCCAAAATATGCCCAGTGCTGTTGACCCAGCCACTGCTAGACCGACAATGGGTCCACACCCTGCAGCTGCTGGTGCTGCTTCAACTACTCCTCCTGCCCGCACTGTTCTACAGTTTGAATATAATGAAGGAGTTTGTAATCCTCAACAACTTAATGCACAACCACAAGCTACCATGAGACAGCCTGCTGTTCGCGTACAAGGTGAGAAGTCTTTGATTGCTTCCACGTTGGCATCTGCCTCTCCTGAAGAGCAAAAGATAATGTTGGGTGAATGGCTGTTTCCTCTTATTCAAGCCATGAACCCTACTCTTGCTAGTAAAATCACTGGCATGTTGTTGGAGATGGATAATTCAGAACTTCTTCATATGCTTGAGTCTCCAGAGTCTCTTCGCTCTAAGGTTGATGAAGCTGTAGCTGTACTACAAGCCTGCCAGGCTCAACAAGAAGCTCAACAAGAAGCTCAACAAGAAGCTCAACAAGAAGCTCAACAAGAGGCTCAACAAGAGGCTCAACAAGAGGCTCAACAAGAAGCTCAACAAGAGGCTCAACAAGAGGATCAACAAGAGGATCAACAAGAGGATCAACAAGAGGATCAACAAGCTGCCAGAAAGCCATTAACAGTGCCACCGGGGTTCCAACTTTAAAACTGATCAGGGACAAGAAGAAACTCGTGCTTCACCAAAGACACATATCTAAACATTGAAAAACATAAATATTATAGTGAAAAATGCGAAATATAAAATAAATTTTGAAAAAGACTTTGAACTTTATGAACTGATAAAATGCCAGGTCTAGCAAATGTAATGTTAGTCCTAGATGACTTATTGACTTAACAATACATGCAAAAAAAAAAGATAGTAAAATATAAAAATGAGTTGATGTTTTATGCAATCTAAGAAAAAGAATTTTCAGCAAAGTACAAAAATTTAAAGCATTTCTTACTTTAAGTTTGTAATTCCTTACTGTGGTTGGCTTATGAAATTCTTGCTCTAGTGAAAAAAGTTTAATATTTAATATTTTACCTAGAAGTGAAGCACTGTTATCAACTTCTTTATTAGTAAAACTTGGGAGTATTTAAGACATGCAGATGTTTGCTACTGGACACAGATTAGCAAATATCAGGTTAAAAAATAAAAATAAGATAAAGCAAATTTCTTCTGGTTTCTGCTTAATTGTTGAAGTACGTTTATAGTGATGACTATTGGAAAGATATACTTCATTTCCTAACATAATAAATAATACATAAGGAAAGCCTTTGGGATTACTATTTCTGTGACTTATTAAAACCTGCCTTTGATGGATGGACCTGGAGAGTATTATGCTAAGTGAAATAAGACAGTTAGAGAAAGACAGTACCATATTATTTAACTTATATGTGGAATTCAATGAACAAAATAAACTAACAAACAGAAACAGACTCATAGATATAGAGAACAGACTGACAGCCGTCAGAGGGGAGGGGGTTTGGGGGGCTGGGTGAAAAAGGTGAAAGGATTAAGCATACATAAAAATACCATATGATCTCACTAATATGTGGAATCTAATGAATAAAATAAACTGACGAACAAAATGGAACCAGAAGCATGGATACATGGAACAGACTGGCCATTGCCCAAGGTGAGGGGGGTGGGGGTGACTGGATAAAGAAGGTGAAGGGTTTAGCTAAAGAACATATACACATACCCCATGGACACAGACAGTAGTTTGGTGAAGGCCAAGGGAGGGGAGGAGGGGTGAGTAGAAGGAGGGAAAGGGGTGCACCTGCAATAAGGTCAACATTAAAAGATTTTTATTAAAAAATCCTCATAGGTTCAGACAACAGTATGTTGATTACCAGAGAAAAGGGGGTGGGGAAGGTAGAAGAGGGTAAAGGGGGGATAAATGATGGTGGAAGGAGACTTGACATTGGATGGTGAACACACAATACAGTGTACAGATGTGTTATAGAATTGTACACTTGAAACCTACATATTTTATTAACCAATGTCACCCCAATAAATTCAATAATTTTTTTAAACTTGCCTTTGGAGGCAGAGAATTGAAGTGCCCCGACCATAGCTTAACTTACAATTGGCAAAGCTCCAATTTGATTTGAGCATTAACTCTCTAAGTTAGGGACTTGGAATTATTTGTTTTCTTTATCTTCCTTTAGAAAATTGCATTTTTGACTGACCTAAATCTAACTCCCACAGATTCTGCATAAATGTTCACAATGTAAAGAATTTAAATATAATTTCTACTTCTATTTGATACATTAAATCTCAGCAGGAACTGCTGCTCACCTGTCCAATTAAAAACTTTTCCAGTTTTTACAAATACATAGAAGCAGTATGTAAATGGATAGAATTCATTCTGTTGATATACTATTGTTATGGACTGAATATTTGCGTCCACCCCAAACTTCCTATGTTGAAGCCTACCGCAATGTATTTGGAGGTAGAGCCTTTGGGAAGTAATTAGGGTTATATAAGGTCATATGAATGGGACTTCCATAATGGAATTAGTGTCCTTATAAGAAAAAGAAAAGACCAGAGCTCGCTCTCTCTACCATGTGAAGACATAGCAAGGAAGCAGCCATCCACAAGGCACCCAGTCTATGGTATTTTGTTGTAACAACCCAAGCTAAGACAATTCTATTGCTATATGTAGTGTAAAAAATGCTTTCTCTATCTGTACTGCCCTCAGCTAGTTGTTCATTACATATTTTCAGTGAAATGAGGATTATTGTGGCAGCTGACTTGGTGTTGTCATGAGGATCAAAAAAGTTAATATTTGTAAAGCATGTAAGGAGCAGTTATAAATATTGACTTAAAAAGATGTTTATATATTAACTTGTAGATCTAGTGGTTTCAGCTATACACTTGCTAATTATTTTTATTTAAATGCTCAGTAAGCTTTAACCAACTAATAGTCATGTGAAGATATAATGAAAGAAATAAAGAGTAAAGTAACAGAAAGATACTATTTCTCAAGTTGGCTAATTTTTTTTAATTATTCAATGTTGGCATGTAAAATACTCAGAGGCATGTTAAATGGCCTAATCTTTCTGGAAAGTAACTTGGCAATATTCCTAAATCCTTAACATTATTCATAAACTTTGACTCATTGATTCCTCTTTCAGCAATGACTCTTAGTGGAATTATAAAATGTGTAGTGGAAGATAGATATATAAAGATTATTTATAGCAGAGGGTAATTAGAAATTTAAATATCCAACAATATAAGAATAATTAAAATATGGTACATTCTTACTATGTTTTTCTTGGCAGCCATAAAAAATTACATTTTTAATAATTATTAAAGACAGGAAATTTTTATAAGAGAATGCTATATTAAAATGCTATAAAACTATAAATGAGACATTCTCTAATTATACTAGTAATCTAGTGCTATATAACAAATTGCCTCAAAACTAAGCAGCCTAAACAACACACATTTGCTATATACATATTTGTTATCTCACAAATAACAAATGCGTGTTGTGGGTCAGGGATCCAGGTACAGCTTAGCTGGTTCCTGTGGTCAGGGCCTCACAGGCTGTGATCAAGGTGTCCAGAGAGGCTGGAGTCTTATCTTGAAGTTCAAGTGGGGAAGAATATGCCTCCAAACTCAACCCTGTGGTTGTTGGCAGGATTCCATTCATTGAGGGCTGTTGGACTGGGGGTTTTATTTTCTTGCTGGCTATTGCCTAGAGGCTACCCTCAGTTCCTTGCCATGCAGGCCTCTCCAACACACCAGCGTACTTCAAGAGAGAGTCTGCTAGCAAGTCAAAACTCACAACAGTTTGTGCCCTAATAATGGACTTGACATCCCCTCAAAGTTGCCGTATTATACTGATTATAAGCAGGTAATAAGGCTATGGATTCCAGAGGCAGGGATCATTGGGGGGCCACCATAGAAACTGTCTACCACATATATATATGTTTACACATTAATACATTATATAAATATATGGAAAAACTGCAAGAAAATATGTCAAAATATTCTCAGTAAATATCTCTAAAATAAAGGATTATGGATGATTTTTAGTTTTGTCTTCATACATTCTACATTCTGTGAGGTTTTTTTTTATAATGAGCATATATTACTTTTATAATTAGAAAAATATCTGCTTTATCTTTTTAATAAATACTTAGTAAAATTAATTATAATTTCACTCAGAATGCTACAGTGAAGTTATTCTCAAATAATCCTTTCTGTGATAAAATTCCTCTATAAAGGTCTGGTTGTAATTAAAATGTCTAAATCCAGGTGGACACTTTCAAACATCTGGTAACTAAATGGGTACTTGGGACATGATTAGCTGTATTTGGCTTAATTTTAACCCTTTCTACTGTATAAGTTTACAAAAACCCAGGAGAAAGATCTTTAAATAACCAGTTTTGGTTTTTTGGGTTTTTTTTGCACCAGTACCCATACTTTTGGTCACAGTCATAGAATGAAATGTTACTATGCAGGTAAGTCAACTACTCAACAAGAATTTTCTCTCTTTTCACTTTGGGTATTGCAACATCCTTGGTGCTTCAGGGTAATGCAGTCCTTGTGCTCAAGAAGGCTACATTCTAATTGGTAAGAGAACAAATACACATCAAATAACAGCATATAATTCTTTCTTTGAGGTACAGAAAACATCCTCATTTGTGACTTCCTTACACCACAGATGCCTTAATAATTCAGATAAAGGAAGGCTGGAGTACTCCAAAGATCTTTCTTGGAGGAGACATGATCTAGGCCTTCTAAAGTGGGTAGCTCTTGAATACTTGTGGAAGGAAGAACAAGGCATTATCCCAGGTGAAGTTTGACTAGTACGATCTCAGGTTATGCCTGTTGCTCTAATGTAATTATTAATAGCACCCCTTTTCACATTCCAAAGCATCACTACTTTGACAATAAATTATGTGAACATCCTAAGTAAAAGTAGAGGGCATTCACGTTCACTAAATTGAGTCAATCTGTTCAATAGATAATAATTCCTACCCGCATCAGTAACAGAATGTTTTGCTCATTTGGGTTCTCTGTTCATTTATTCATTGTGAATTTAACTTAAAAGGGTTATTTGTTTTAACTTTTTTTACAGTCACTTCAGAGTAATAGCAATTAGAGATATGGACTGTGAGTGAGAGAGTATTTTTTTTTTTTTTGAAATAGCTTTTATTTTTCTTTTTTCTTCTACACAGCAATCAAGATACTAGAGAAAATACCAGAAAGATTCCTAAAACTTCATGGTAACAGGCATATCTAGAGTCTGTAGAGTTTACAAAGGTCCCCAGTGGCTTGGGGAAGATCATGTAGCTTTTCTGGGATTCTCCACTACAGGGATTGAATGAGGTTTCTTCTCCAGCTTTCTTCTAAGAATGAGAGTTTAAGAAACACAGAATTAAATGACTTGCTTTCTTGAAGTAAATCAAGATCTTTGGAAGGGTCTGCTATCTCCATAGTCATCAGATCACACCTCAGTAGGGCACCGTCATTTCTCAGCACAATGTGAAAATGGAAGTACTAAATCATTCAGCATTCTTGCCATCAAAAGAAAATCACTTCTTACAGAGTTCATTGGTAACCGTGGAATATGAAATCCAAATTTTGGTCGGGTCAAATTTAACAATAACTTTATGTAAGCAATACAGGGTGGGTGGGGTAAAAGTAGGTTTACAGTTGTTTATATGGAAAAATAATACAATAATAAATAATACAAGAATAAATT